CACAAACAGAAGTTAAAGGGAACTTAAAGCTTTAAGAAGTTTTAATCAACTGGACATCTCATACTTATTCCCTTTTTAAATTTATTTCTCTGTTCTTTCATGAAAAAATAGGATATAAATCAAAGAAGTTCAGCATCACAAAATGTATATTACACCTGAACAAAAAAAAAAAAAAAAAGAACCTTCCAAAAGATTTCCAAGTAGAAGAAAAATAAACTTTAGAAAGAGTGGTGGTATACTTCAGTGGTAGAACACTTGCCACGTATATATGAAACCCTAATTTAATCCTAAGTGTCCAAAAAAGCAAGGGGAGGGAGGGTGTGCAATATTAATCACAAACTCCATTTCAGCTTCGGCATTTGAAAACACAAATGTCTGTTTAAAAACACAGAGTTGAAATTTTATGAACTTCAGAAATTCCAATTTGAAAATACTCCCCACACTAACGACTAAACACCAATTTTTACTATAGCAGTCCCAAAGAAAAAGTTCCTGTCTCCACCAAATCACAAATCAAAAATATATCCCCTTTGATTTCGTGTTCCCTTTCTTAGCATCAACCAATTTTTCCTTCAAAATATTTTCAAGTCAACTGTTCACTTCCACTGTTACTAGGTGTCCATATATCCGTACCTTTAAACTTCTACAACAGATCCCATTTCTATTCTTGTTTCCCCTTACCCAATCTCCACATGATAGAATATATGTGCTTCTTAACTTAAATTTCATCAAATTCTTCTATTCTACCAGCTTTTCATGTCACATAAAATGAAATTCAAACCACTTGCCCTCACCCTCCACGATCTAGACCTTCCCTAATTCTGTATGCTTACTTCACATCACTTGTCCTCTCCATCACACATTCTAAATGTGGTGGGCAGGGGGAGGGGAGTTTGTTTGGCCTCACAAATAAGTCATATTCTCTTCTGGTCACAGTCTTTGCATTTTCTGATCTCTGTGCTCTCAACTCCTGGATTTATAATCTTTATAAATTCCAGCTTTTGCTGACTGCTGACATTTGAATTCTTTAAATTCAAGTACTAAAGAAATCCTCCAGAACCATCTTAAAATAGCCTAATTCTTTCAAATCAGTTTATCTTCTTTATCACACATTTTTCCAAATTACTATTTTCTTGTTTTACTCATTACTATTTTTTGTCTTTTCAATTCTAGTAGAATGTAAGCTCCATGAGAGCAAACTATTACTATCTTCTCTATCACTAGGCTTAACCCAAATCTAACACATTGTAAATGCTTCATGTTTAACAACATCTTCAGTTAACATCTACAATAAGTTAACAAATATTAAATTTATATCTCTCATCCAAATTTCTCTCCTAAGCTTCATACTTAACCACCTACTTGTCAGTTGTCTCGAAAACAGTCTCAGTGGGGTCACCAAATCTGTTCCTTCTCACATTGTTCCCTAAGTACATGAAGACTTTACATGTATTACTCTACAGAATTAGACAAAACAATCCTAAAATTCATCTGGAATCAGAAGAGATCTAGAATAGAAAAGGCAATCCTGGACCACAAAGACAAAATGGGGGCATCACAATCCTTGACTTGAAATTGTATTATAAAGCCACTGTGGTTTAAAAAAAAAAAACAGATCTGAAGATCAATGGAATAAATTAGAAGATACAGAAATAACTGCAGACACATTAAGTGACCTTATCTTTGATAAAGGTGCCAAACACATTCATTGGAAGAGAGATAGTCTCTTTAATAAATGGTGTTGGAAAACTGGCTTTCCACATGCCAAAGATTAAAACTGGACCTGTATCTTTCACCATATACTAAGCTAGAATCAGAATGGATTAAAGATCTTAATATTAAAACAATCATTACATCTGCAGGAAGATAAGAGTAGGTAAAACTCTTTAGGCAATGGTGTAGGTAAAAACTTTATGAATAAAACCCAGAGTGCACAGGACTTATTGCAAAAAATCAACAAATGGGATCTCTGAAAAGCTTTCGCAAGAGAAACCACCAACAGAGGGAACAGACAACCCACTATGTGGGAGAAAATGTTTGCCAGCTGTTCCTCAGATAAAAGATTATTATTGAGAACATATAAAGAACTCAAAAACAATCAGCCCTCCTCAATTTAAAGACCCAATCCAAAAATGGGCATATGAGATGAACACACACTCCTCAGATGAAGTACAAACAGCAAATATGTGAAAAAATGTTCAAAAGCACTGGCCTTTCAAGAGATGCAAATTAAAATTACACTGAGATTTTAATCTCACCCCAGAAAGAATGGCTAGTATTAAGAAATCAACCAATAACAAATGCTGGAGGGGCTGTGGGGAAAAAGGAACCCTTCTCCATTGTTGGTGGGAATGCAGATTGGTGCAACCACTGAGGAAATCAGTGTGGAGACTCCCCAAAAAACTAGAATTGGAGGTCCCATTCGATCCAGCTATTCCCCTTCTGGGTACCTTCCCAAAAGAATTAAAAACATCATACCACAGCGATATACGTACACTATAAGCACCAGTTTATAGCAGCCAGATCTTTAAAACAACTTAAATGCCCACTGACTGAGGAATGGTTAAAAAAGATGTGGTAGTTCTATATAATGGAATGCTACTCGGCCATGAAGAATGATAAACTGGACATTTTTATAGGTCAATGGATGCACCCTGAAAACATACTTAATGAAATAAATATGTCATATATGCACAATCATCATATTATTTCATTAGTATGATAAAAAGAAAACATGTACTTTGTCCCAGAAAGAATGACTTCAGCCAAGCAACAACTTGGGCCACACCTCCCTTCACTTTAACCCACTGTGAGCCATTTTGAGTTGACTTTTGGATGTTTTAAGAAATTTTTGATGTGCTATAAGGTTTAGGTTTTTTGCATGTGGATATCCAATTGTTTCAGCATATTTATCCTTTCTCCACTTAATTATTTTTGCATCTTTGCCAGAAATCAAATGTCTGCTATGTGGGTATTTATTTTGGGACTTTATATTGGTACTCTGGTGGTTTGTCTATTTTGATATCAATGCTGGTTTGTCATGATTGGTGTAACTCTGTGATAAGTCATGGGACTGCAGAAGGCTGGAGCTCTAATTGTGTTTCTTTATCAAAGCTGTTTAGACTATTTTATTTTTACAGAAATATAAGAATCAAAATGTTAATCTATATGAAAGATAATGTTAAGAGTTTGATAAGGGATTGTGTTTTCTGATCTTTATTATTTTCTTCTATTTGTTTTTAGTTTCACTTTTTTAATAAAAAAAAAATTACCACCAACCAAATTTCTCATGCTATAATCTAGAGTTTTATACTTGATGTGATCTATCTCATGCCATATCCAAGCAACCACCCAAAGTCTCTGCATCGCCTCAATTCTATTTTCTAAATCTCTTCAATCCATCTCATTTCTTTAATCTCACCACTTAAGTACAAATCATCACCATTTTTCTATCAACTACAATGAACTTTTAACTCCCCACTTTCTCCTCTAGTTTATTCTCTAAGCAGTACCACCATGGTTATGTTATCACCTCCATCAACCCTAAAGCCTAATGCCCACATGAACTACACAAACCACAGGGCCCACATGAAGTACAGTTGGGCTAACTACCTGCCTTTTCTCTAGAATCCAGTTTTGGTTTTTTCTTTCAAGTCTACTATGCTTGAGCCCAGTGGTGCCAAACCTATCGCACACAAGCCACGACGAGGTGATTTTATCATGGAAAGGTCTAAAAGGTATGCCATCTCAGGGCAGTTAAGTACATTTGTCTCTCTAGCCTAAAAACACTCTGTTCGCCAAGTCACAACACCCTAGAATTCACACTTATCTTTTAAGTCTAACACTTAAACATCAGTTCCTCTAGGGGTCTGAAGTAAGCAAAATTCTAAAAATATCTTTCCCCAAACCCAAATATTTCCATCGTTGGGTTATACAGTCACACAGTATTGTAGATATAATTACGCAGATATAATTAAGGTTATTAGTTTTAAAATAGGGAGATTATCCTGGACTATCCTGGCGGGTGTAATATAATCACTTGTGCTCTTAATAGCAAAGGTTTCTGCCAGCCAAGGACAAAATAGAAAGGTCCAGCATAAATTGGCCAACAATCTGACTGGACCTTGAAGTAATTCTACCCCTGGAGATTTTAAGTCAGTCCACAAACCAGCTGGTACCTTGAGGTACATTTGTGAGAGTCCAAGCAGAGACCCAGTCAAGCCAGCTCTGTTTCTAACCTATAGAACACTAATAAATGGGTGTTACTCTAATATGCTCAATTTGTAGCAACAATAGAAACTAATGCCAAGGCCCTTCCTCAGCCTCTATCCCCATGCCACATTGGGTTAAGTGCCCTGTTAAATGTTCCTATAGTGTTTAACTTCTCTTTCAAAATATTCATCGTACTTAGGACAACAGATGCATTCTAAAATTTATATAGTCAGAGATGTACATTTTTGCACACCATTATAATCCAATGTCTCCACAATTGGTATCCATAAGTGTTTGTTGATTGAATGAATAAACTTTTTATTCATTTCTCTCTCAAAATTCTCAATAATGATGTAACTCTTACAAAGTGCTGTATTAATTAAAGTGCTATATCAATAGCCTCACAGCAATAACTTTAAAAAATGGAGAATTGAGATAAACAGAATATATTCAATCATTCAAGAGATCATTATTTTGGTTTTAGAAACCCTTCCTCAGTCATCACTATTCTCTACTGCCCAAAGCCTCTACAAGATCATGGTTATCTATTAGCAAATCACAAAATATTGCCAGATAAAACCATTATTACTAATAACCCTAGTTAACATCCCTCAGGCATACTGGATAATAAATAAAGTTTTAAAATAATTTTTCTATTTCCAACTGCAAAAAATAATCCAAATTTATTGAACCTCAGACCTTACTACTTCATAATAAAAAGACATTGAATATGTTAAAACTATCTGGTCAGAAAAAGGAAGGATAAACAAAAAGAACAATTTACTTACATCAATGGAAAAGCAAAAAATGGGAGTGTCATGGCAAGTCTTGCAGTAAGTTCATCAGGAAGATACCATAAATACACAATTAAGCATGTAAACAGGTAGAGAATTGAGGAATAAAGAATTAATCTTCCAACCCATAATTTTTGTAATCGCTGATTTTTTTCCCTAAATTCTTCCAATGCTTGAATTTCCTGTTAAGAGAAAATTATTCTGTATTACCAAATTTCAAAGTTCATTTTAAAAAACCAAAGTGTTAAAAATTTTTAACAAGATAGAAAGGCAATTAAGATTCAATTAAATAAAATACTCTAATATTTTAAAATAAAACATAATATGCAAAACTAAAAGTTACAAAATGTATAATATTGTGACAAATCACTTTTCAAAATTAAATACTATTATTAACCTATCAAACTGACAAAGACTAGAGGAATAGAAATAGCATATCTGTTGAGTCACACACGTAATAATTCTCCATATAAGCGGCTTTTAAAAACTTAGCAGTAAAAAAAAAATTAATAAAAATAGCCCACATAGATTCTTTTATCTACTCACTATTCACAGTACTTCCAGGCAATAACCATTTTCATAGTGAAAAAATAAAATGCAAAACTATTACTACTTTTTAAGGTGATAACAATTGTTGCAGATTATATTACAATCTATTTTAACCAATCCGTAACATTGATTATACCAAGCTATTGATACAACTCCATTCTAACACGTTCCTATCATTTGACATAGGATTTATTGCATAAGTTATAGACTTACGGTACTTTTCTTGACATCATGTAACTAAGTTCACAGGCTTATTCTATATCATTTTTAAATATTCATAGTAGATCTGACCTCCAAAATAGCATTTAGTATACTAAAATAATATTTACTTAATATCTAAAATGAATTAAAACACCTCCAAGTAAAAGACATACCTTGTCTATACTTTCTAGAACTTCTACAGTTGAAGGTTTTGTCTGTTACAGAAATAGAAATTAGAAACAGCATTAAAACCCATTATTGTAAACTTAGAACACTTTGGTTACATAATCAAAAGAAAAATCCTAATTCAAGATTACTTAGTTCTCAAATGTTGTCAAACTATACATATTCTCATTTATTCATAACTAAGATTTATTTAAGCGAAGAAAGTACAAAAAAAACCCATATAACCTGTTTAAAGCCTGTTTTCTTTTTTTTTTTTTTTTTTTTTTGGTACTGGGTATCGAACTCATGACCTTGCACTTGCCAGGCAGGCACTTACACCACTGAGGTAAATCCCTGGCCCTTTAAAGTCTTTTTCTATTTAATTCCTTTTTAGTCCTAGAAAAAAATTTAATTGTGATAGCTCAACTTTTGCTATTCTTAACCTCAACAGAACATACCATTATACAGAGAAACAAACTTTACTCCAACAAAAACGTTTTTAGATAACAATTACTGAAAAGAGTTCATATGGCTTAGTGGCATGGCAGAACACTTGCCTGGCCTCCATCATCAACAAACAAATAAATAAATAATTCATATACTTAAAAATTCACAAACTAAGATGGTCTGAAACTCTACTGTTGAAAGTTCACTTAGGACTCAGGAAGTCAAAACTAGTAAGTTACCTTCCCTGTGAATCCCTAAAGTACATATAATACTTCAATATGGCAGTTTATTTGCCCAAGAGTTTATATCACCTAGCCTATAAAACAAATGGCCTAACAACACTCAAGAAAATATTTACCAACTCATGAATCCAAAAGAACAAATATCCATTCATTATAGTTTCCCAAAAAAGCTGTTAAAATCAAATTGAACCATATGAAATTGCCATTTTGTAAGTCAAAACAGAATATGGTAATTTCATATGGTTCAACCTAATAAGACAAAGGAAGAAGACATTATTATGATCCTCAGGAAGAACTGCCATAGATTTTAAAGAAGGGGGCTCGTCTCATTTACATGTGCAATCTTAAAAGAATTGATTTTATAGAAATAGAGAGTAGAATCTAAGGAACCTAGGGGAGGACACAGATGAGTTGGGCTGGAGGTCAAAAGCTACAAAATGACAGGAATAAGTTCAAGAGACTAGGATACAAGATGACAACTACAGCTAGTGAGCTATTAATGTATTCTTGAAAAACACTAAGTATATACATTAAGCACTGTCACCACATACAAGGTAAAGTACATTAGCTAAATTTAATCATTCCAGTGTGTACATATTCAAAGCATCATGTTTTACAATAACTAAATATTATTTCATCTATCAATTTAAAAAAAAGAAAGAAAAGGGAAGGAATCAAAGTATGGGTTGTCTACCAATATTCAAAAAATAATTACACAGAAAGTATTGCTAGGCTCCATACTACTATAATGTCAAAAAATAAGTACTCTATTCTAAATTACATTATTTCCTTTAACATTACAGAGCACTTATTAAGATAATTTATATTTTCTGGCTCTAAATTTGATGTAACCTCTTAAACTTATTCAATAAAATCAAACATTTTTAATTTTGTTTACTCTACAATTCTTAAAAGCATACTTAGTGTGATTTCAATAAATATATGTGACAAGCATTAAGTAAAAGCATAGCATGTAAAAAAAATGAAAGGATGGTATAGAATACTTAATTTCAACCACCTTTAAAGTAAGTTCAAAATTTAGACAATTATGAGAAGAAAACAAGAAAAGATAACCAATTTTACATGTAAATATGGAAACAAAAACAATTTCTCAAAGTGAAACAATTATTTTAAAGAGACATTAAGCACTTATAGAACTGCAAAGATAAAGTCCAAAATTTAAAAAAATTCAGAGCAAAAAAAGAAAAAAGTTAAAAGAAATTAAACAGATATCAACTAAAACTGAAAGCTATACCACAAAGGAGACTTTTACAAATATCTGTATGAATATAAACTACCAGTAAAGAAAAGTAACTTACTCTCCATCTAGAAAATAATCCACCCATCTTTTATTTGTAGACACGTGGTGCAATGATAAATATCATTTGTTGTCCAAAGTCACACTAGAAATAAAGCAAATATTTTTAAAGTTTTAAGTTAAACACACAGCATACCTACTAAAAAACTCAGATGTTTTACGAAACTTACATTTACACAATTTGAATTCAGATAATCATTGGGAACAAATCCATCTTTTTTAAACCCTTTCTTCAAAGGAAGAACATATTTAAAGGTAAAAATACAGGTAGAAAGGCTTTTTAAATAACAAGGCATTCTAGAAGTCTAGTCAAATGACTTAGTGATTTTCTGTTCTTTAAAGTAGGTCCAATGTGTTCTTGTAACAAAAGTGCTATTGTATTACTTTTATTCTGCAGGCCTAAAAAAAACCATTTCTATTATTCAGCTGATGACTCCCAACTAAACTAATTTATCTGAAATTAAGGGTGTTTTACAATGTTCAGAATAGCAACACTTTATAAGTAATCATAGAAAATCAATTACATTCTGAATAAGAATATAAGGATTACAAGGCTGCTTGTGACCTTGAGCAAATCATCTAATGATGCTGAAATTTTTTCTATAAATTAGAACAACAGCAACATTCTCACAAGATAGCTTTTCGTATTACCACCTTATAAATTAAAACAAAACTAAATAAAGAGGTTTAAAGATTTGCCCAGAAAAAGCATGGCCCCTCTTCCTTTGGAGTTCTGGCCCTATTAGTAAACATAACTGTTCAGCATTCCAAAATAAACATTTCTTCACAAAATTTTGTATAAGTTCCTCAGGCAAGTTGACCTTCATTTCAAATAGACACATATTCACCTTTTAATTATTTTTCCATGACTCAAGTTATTTATAATAGACTCAGCAATATTATATTCAAAATCAGTTTGCTACTCAGTAATCATATAAAGTTTTACTTTTTTAGTTGACATGGTAAAAGTACATTTTGAAACTAATATATTTTACTAAGATACAAGTATGTACTTGCAAATGTGTGACATTTCATTTATTCAAGTGCACAGTTATTAAGAATGTATTTCATAATAAATAAAAAAAGTATTTCACACATTTTTTAACAATAAATATAATCAGAAAACAGCAACTGTGTCAAGTAAGAACTGCAATAATTTATACACTGGAATTCACATCAGATATAGCTATTAAAGTAGCAAAGAGTCTAATTATAAATACTTTGACTTACAAAGTGATCTTTAAGAACCAAAACATCTGTAAATCCATCCTGAAAAATTCTAAAGTTTGTAAATGTAGTAAGTGCTACAAACTACATTTAAGTTACAAGCTAAATAGTAATAATCTTTCAATATTAGCTCAGTATTCAAATTCCTAAAATGTGAGAAATCCTGGATCCTGAATGAACAAAAAAAGAAACTTAGTCAAGACATTAAGTAAATCTCAAAACCTTCTTATAAAGCTAAAAATAATCAACAAGAAAGGTAGACCAATTCAGTTGACCCACTTGATATTCTCAAACTATACATCATCTCACTATTACACCCGGCCCACATATGTTGGTTTGTAAATTACACCCCTCTAATCAAGTTTATAACTATTATATACTGTGTTATGATTTAGATCTAAAATTGCCCCCAAAATCTTCATATGCTCAGAGGTGGGGTTTTCAGAAGGCAATCAGATCATGAGGGCTTTAACTTCAGATTAATCCATTGATGAAATCATCATTTGATAACATTATTGGGAGGTAATGAAAACTTAGGAAGTAGGGTCTAGTTGAAAGGAGTAGGTCAAGGGGCATGCCCTGGAGGAAAAAATGGAACTAAGGGCTGGAAAAATAAAATTCTAAGGATGTCACTATGCAGTTTAGACTGGCCTTAAACTCACTTTGTAGCCCACATTGGCCTCGAACTCGCAGCAATCCTTCTGCCTCGGCCTCCAGAATGCTGGAAATACAAGAGTGCACTACCACACTCTCTGAAGGACTGTATCTTATCCCTGGCCTCCCCCACTCCAGCTCTTTCCCTGGCTCTCTGTTTCAGGATTTCCAGACTTTCCAGCTTTGCTCCACCAGGCCCTTCTGTCTTGTTCTGTCTCACCACAACAATGGAATTAGTCAACCCTGGACTGAAATCACAAGCCTAATAATTCTTTCCTCTCCCTTTTATTCTTTTCTGTTAGTACATGTTTGTAGTATATAATATTTACACTCCTTGTGCACAGTTAGGACATGTACATAACACATTTAACTCCCACTTTCATCTGTCTTCCCTTTCTTCCCTCCCTACTCCTTCTATTTCCTCATTCTCTTCTGAGAAAGACCTATTTCTTTACTTCCTCTTATCTTTTATTTTCCTCTTTATAATTTGGGTGTCTCATGTAAGAGAAACTATGGGATATTTAAGCTTGTTGTCTAATTTATTTCAGTTAACATTATGGTCTCGAGGTACATCCATTTTCCTACAATTGACTCAAGTTAGCTTTCCCTAAATTGGCTTTCTCAGGTTATTTTATCACTAACAGAGGACTAACACAACCTAAAACCAATTTTTTTTCCTTTGAGTAGCAATGGGAATTGAACCTAGGGCTCCAATTTCTATCTACCACTGAGATATATCCCCAACCCACAAATTTCCATCAGAAATGAATGACAACAATAGTAACAAACAATCAGCACATCTTTAGCAAACATTAAGACAAATGCTTGAGATGAATTTTATCATTTAGATATACTATCACTCCATTTTATAAATGAAGAACTTGAGGCTACAACGAAGTAATATGCTAACACTCTAACAGTATTAAGTAGCAAGGCCAACCATAGCATTTTAATTTTGATTTTTTTAAAAAAGCAATTGGTTAGTCCCAACTGCACAAAATAAGAATGGAGATAGTTGCTTTAATATAGACTGGCCTGGAATATTTATATATAAAATATACAAAAGCTCCTCTAATACTCTCAAATAGAAGTAAACAGAACTATAGAAGTGGAAAGGGAGCCAGGTGTGGTGGTGCATGCCTGTAGTCCCAGCAGTCAGGAGGCTGCGAATGGAAGATCACTGCAAGTTCGAGAACAGACTAGGCTACAAAGTTAAGCGCATGGCCAGCCTGAACTGTATAAGGAGACCCTATCTCAAAAAGACAAAAAAAAAGTGGAAAGTGAGTTACAAACACAAGACAGTACAATGAATGCAGCATTAGCCCAATTTCTTCATCTAATTAAATATTAATACTTTTCAGCAAAGTTACATGGCTCTGACTAGAAACAGAACTTTGAAAGTACAGTTTTTATTTTATTGCATATCACTTTTAAAATTAGTATAATTGATATATATGCATATCACAATTAATAACAATTCTCATTATTTGCTTGGAAAATTGTTTGATGTTAATGAAACAAATTATAACAGTCTTAAAGATTCCTGAAACAGCGACTTATGCTTCTAAATTTGTCCTCTAAAACAACCTTAGGATGATACTAACCAAAAGCCACATCCATGCTTTCATATTCACAGTCAAAGAAACTGTCAACCCTCATTGTTTCAGCAATTTTTTTATCAAATTCTGATATTTGTTAAAGAAGCTAATTTATCATAACACACATGTGGTGATACTTTTCCATAGACATGAAAACACACCAAACTATTAATTTCACATTTCTATTTTCAACCACTGGTCTCTCATTTCCATTCAGACATCTTTACTCCAATTCCTGTGGCCCAACACTTACTCTGAAATTATAGGCAAATAAATTACTTAACCTCTTTCTTACTCAACTTCCTCATTTACAAATGAGGTAGAGCCTCTTCAAAGTTGAAAAGCTTAAATAACAGTATTTTGTGAACTATCATAGTACCTAATACAGAATAATTACTAAATACGTATTTTTTTAATGCTGTGGTCATTACTATTTTCTAGTTCATCTATGCTTTCTTTCAAATACTGTAACTAGAAAATACATGGAAACCAAATAACCCTGGCATTCCTTTTGAAGCATAAATCAGTCTGCTTGCCCTTGAGTAGACAAATGGCTCAACCTCATGTGGCTTGTCTCCAAGAATCTTCTATGAATATGCACAAGTCTCTTTCCACTCTGATACCACAATTGGGACCTGACATGACCTAAGAGCTCACGATACATAAATGTATTTTTCAGTGAAAGATAATGTCTACTATTTTATTTGTTTCCTGCTATCACACTCAGGATTGAGTGTTATAATTTAAAATCCTAAGAAATGCTGCTTTGTTTGTTTGTTTTTTAATTTTCAGCTGACTTTAAGTCACATTAGAAACAACAGAGTAAAATATATCTGGATTCAAAATATGACTCAACCACATACTAGCTGGTATATGATCTTGGGCAAACTAAACTCTTTAAGCCTCAGTCTGTAAAATGATGAAAATAGCTGCATAAAACTGTTCTACTGATTAATTGAAATTATTACTTGGCATAGTACTCAACACAAAGCAAGCATTTAATAAATTGTAGCCATTATCCTTTCTATTACAGAAAACACATGTGGTACTTAAATGAAACCTTTCTTTCTAACTTCTTGTAAAAAAAGCACCTACTTCATAATTTAAACATTGAAAAAAAATTAGTTTGTGTTTTTACTAAAAGTATACTGCTCTCAGTTATTCTAGAGTGGGAGAAAAAAAAGCAACATCCACTTCACTTAAATAACCATGTAGGCCTCTGGAGAAAATAGCAAGGAAAGTTTAGTTTTATGTGTATCACATTTCAAACTTAAACTAGCACTTCCTTAACACTGTACTTACTGTATTGGTGGTTCAGTGGTAGAATTCTTGCCTGCCATAACACTGTACTACACAATTTAAGATTAAAAGGGATTTGTTCTAAAATGCGAACTATTAAATATCTATTTGAAAAGGCAATTTTAAATATTCCAAAACATCACATTTATTGCAAAAATAAAATTGATGGAAAGTTTTAATACATGGTGATAAAGTGCTTCCTTTCATAGTTAAGTAAAGCCGTACTCTGAAATAATACCCCCAAAATGACTAGTTGATTAGAAGAATTTCTACATGAAATCAATGTTTTTGACAACCATATATCCTCCTTTTCTTATACTCTTTCAAGTTAATAATATACAAACTGTAATTGTGTAATGATGCTGATGAAATTAATGATCTCAACAGACAGAAAACCTTAAAATTCTAAGTTTAAAAGCTCAATGAAGAAAGTATAAACTTTGTTCTCCTAAAAAGGCACTACGGGAGCTGTTGAGCACAAGGGACTAAGTAGCATTCCCTGCTGGCTTGAACATGTCTTGAAACTATGCTTCTCCATATCCAACACACTGCTGTTGAATACAATCAGTTTTGTCAAGGGTGAAACTCAGGCCCCGAGTAAGGAGAAAATAGTAAGACTAGAAGTACCACAAAGCAAAAGAGATAAAAAGCAGAACCTGGAAAACTGCGAGTCACAGGTCTTGTTTGGTACTGTGAAAAAAGCATTGGCAAACCGTAGTTCACCACGCCTCTCTATCCTTAAAAAGTCCTTAAAGAATGAAACCTATTGACGGCATAGATTTGCTCTTCTTTTGCCGCGCCTAGTACATCTACCATCTTCGCCCTTCCCCTCCACCCTTCACACCGGCCATCTCTCAAAATAAGGACAATGGTGTAGGGCTGCTCCTCTCCCCGCGCAGAATCCACACCCACACGCGAGCTGAGCAGCATGACACTGACAGTTTCAGTGCCTTCCGATTTTTACAACTCGTGGAACCTCGTACAACTCGCTGAAAAAGGAGACGCGCAGGCCCACCCAAAGCGGAGAGTTCTGCGAAGGATGTGCTAGTTCGGGACCTCCTGGCTCTTCTCAACCCAGGTGGGCCAGGAGCCCAGGCTCAAGCCGATCACTACCAGGAATCTCTGAAGGTAGAGCTGGGAAACCACCGGCCCTCACGAAGCAGAACATGGTCTCGAGCATTCCAGAGCCACCTCTGTCACTGCGCTGGCAAACCAAGGGGACGAGGCGGCTCCTAGAGGTCAGCGCCCACCTCAAAGGGTGCCTAACTGGCCGCCGCCGCTACCGCCGAGCTCTTAGGCCACTGGGCTCCGGGCGGGAGGCAGTGGGGAACTCCGAGAGCGTTTGTGTTTCTTGGGCGGAAAGCCCAGCGCGCCTCCTCTTTAATGAGCCCCCCCAAGTGCTTTCATCTTAAGCACTCTACCTGTGTGAGGCGGGCGCAGCCTGGCCCCGGCGTCCACCCCTGCTGACCTCGAACGCCAACTCAGTCCGCCTCAGCTGCAGGCAGCAGCGGCCACAAACAGAGCCCCGGGCCCAGCCAATTCCTTCCCATAAAACCCCGCGCTCTCTCCGCCAACCAATCAGCGACGCAACCGGCGCGCGCCGCTCCCCGTCACGTGACCCAAGCAGCGCCGGCCGTTGGGGGCGGGGATCCCGGCGCACGGCCCGCCGACTGCCTGCCTGTGCCTCAGCGGCTAGTGGAAGGTGCGCCTTGTCGCGTCGTCTCTGAGCATATTGCCCTTTACTGCGACTGCTACCAGTACTGTGTGCTTAGTCTCCCTTTGCGTCTTTCTCTTTTAAAGCCCGTTCTGCCAGCGCTCGCTGGAGAAAGAAAAAACACTGACACTGGCCCTAGTGGTCCCACACCGCGACGGTCAGAGTAGAATGGTGGAGGAAACACAGGGCCATGAGGAGTGGGCTCAGGGGTCCGACCTGAAGAGTCGCCGATCACCTGTCATCAGCCGGCAGCAGGGCAAGTTCACATCCCACAACTTAGAAGCGGTCAGTTCCCAAACGTGCCAGTGGGGAAATGCTGCCTAGACCCCGACAGTCCCCGAGGCTACTGTCGTCAAAAAGGGCCATTTGATGACACTTACCTCTTGTGAGGTATGGGAATTTCAAACCAAGGTCAACAACAAAAAGCTGCGTTTCCTTCTTAAAACGCAAGACCAGTCTTCAAATCCCGATGTACTGGCCCCACGACTATAATGATACCTGAGTAACAAAAGGAGTGTGCACACAGTTACATAGAGAAGGCTGGAGAAATTTTAGCGAACGTTTTTATTGTATTTTAACTCCCGTGACGTTTTACCTCGTGTGCAAACATTTTTCATGTTTTTTCTATTTTAATTATATATGCATATTATAAACAGTTTCTGTGGTTTTCAAAGAGCATACGAGTTTGAATATATTTAAACTTTGACAACACAAAGAAAGAAAAATGCATCTGGTTGTTAAGAATAATTTATTATTCTGGAAGCTTCCGGATGATTCATTGAAGTTGCTTGTCCTAGATGCTGAAATGTTTAGTTAGGGTTCTATAACCTTGAATCGATGAAGGGAAGAGAACTAAAATTTAGTATGTAGTGTGCCTCGGTCATTTTACAAATGTAGAACAACATACTAAAATATTTCACCTGTTTTGATGTGGAAATTTAACCATTTTGTTTTTCATCGTTTGCAGTTTCAAAGTATTGGAAGTCCTCTGCAGCTATACTGATAATCTTACCTTTCAAAGATCTTTCCTAAGAGAAATTAATGGTTTTTACACTTGCTAATATGTTCTCTGATTTTGATTGAGCTATCAAGTTCTATTGTAAAAGGGATTAAAAGCTGGATATAGATACAAAATAAGAGCTAACTAGACACAAGAGATAGAAAAAAAAAAAAATCCTAAGACACAATTCCCAAGGGGTTACTCTAGGAAAAGCAAAGATTTAACCAAGCCAGCAGTGGGAAAGAAACATCAGTATTCTCAACAACCTTTTAAATTGCTTTTCAAATGAGAAAAACTAAAAGTAGAAAGAGTATGTACATTGTTACACTTTACCACTGCTTCCTTTGTATCAAGTGGAAAGGGGGGGGGGGGGATTGTAGCTCAGATATAATTTACCTAACATGGTCAAGGCCCTGGATTTTGAACCCCAGCCACACACACACACACACACACACACACACACACACACACACAATTTGTGTAGTAAATACTGAGGGAAAAACATAAGAAGTGATTCCAAACAAATTGTGTTAAGTGCTAAGAAGACAGATAAAACAGCTGTCCTAACACATCTGCCACAAGTGAGAGAAATCCCACAAAAAAAATAACAAAAATAAATTCATAAACAAGTACTGCAATGGAGGCTACCATGCAAGGTATTAGAAAATAAGACAACAGCCGGAGAAGGGAAGTCAATGAAGGTGCTGCTTTAACAGAATCCAAATATTAAGATTTATTCCCTAGTAAACCTAATGATCCCCTAATATGTTTGTTTAGGTGCTGTGAAGCATGGAGGAGGGGCATATATTGATCTTGCTGGGAGGTTAGAGAAAGCATCCTTGAAGAAGTCACAGTCAAATGGAGAGCTGAAGAATGAGAAACTGAGTGAAGGGAAATGCAGGAAATAAGTATCTTGTGTAAAGATCTTTTGTCAGGAGAGGATGTTGCAAGTCTTAAGAACTGAAAGGGGCCATTGTGACTGAAGCATAGGTTGTAGGAGAGTGCTTCAAAATGAAGCTGGAAGCCAGACTGGAGCACGTCACTGACCATATAAAAATCCAAATTTTGATGAGTATAGAGTGGGAAGGTATCTAACATCAGATCGCACATGGCCAGCATTAGACCAACGCAGATCTGCAAGTGGTGGGTGCTGATGGATGTAGTTCAAGTGAATTGGGATAGTTATAACTGGAACTCCAATGTGCATAAGGTAGGTTTTTCTCCCCTAGAGACAAGTGGCTTCTTGAGGCCTAATTAATGAGCATTAATGGCTTCCCAGATCTCTCCTCAATCCAGATGAAGGAACAGAATATGCAGATACTGTCAAGTGAAGTTTCCTTTCCCCTAGAAAGGGGACAAGACAATGAACTGAAGATCGCTAAAAGTGATAAAGCAAATGTGAAGATTTGCATCGCTTCTCAGTGCCCCCCCTCCTTTGTTCCTTACTATAAAAGACCCTTGCTCACAGTACACAGTGAGATGGCAACTTGAGGCAAATAGGTCCCTCCATCTCAGAGGTAGCATTCAGCTTATGAAACTAAGTGACCAATAACAATAGGAGCAAGGAGATGACAAATGGGAGAATTGAAACAATTACAAACAGCTACTTATAGATAAGCAGAGCACAAGAATTGTTCAGTTGTTTAGTGGCCACCAATCACAGGTGACACTGTGGATTTAAAATGACCAATTGAAACTCAGGTTTTCTAACCCAGTTCTTCAGCTTGTAGGGGGTTTCAAGGAAACCAAGATTTACAGGGAAATAAGAGAGAAAGAGAAACTGGTTATTTTGCATTTTAAATTTTTCAAAACTCAGGAATTTAGTAGGAAATAGGCTGCTTTCCAGGTTGCCTGAGGAAGTTCATTCTTGGTCCAAGATAGCTGATAACCTGATTGTATCTCAGGACCTTTCTCCAACTAGCTGCTTTGTGAACTAAGTAAGGTATTTTCTACTTCAATGATAAATTCACATACAATGGTGTTAGCAGGGTTCTGGGATATTGTGGGGTCCTTCTGGAGATTCTTTTTAGGGTTCTTTTGGTCAAAACAAGCAAAAAGGTAGCAAGGTTTTACATTTATTAAAGGTAGGAAAGGTGGGTCAGTTCAAGACAGGAAAATAAGTGTACTCTGGAAATTACAGAATGAACCAGTGAAAAAGCTCACAGCGGCCACAAGTGTAGGCCGCAGCAGCTGCTGTCTTTTATATCCCCATGCTGATGTCCAATCTAGGCCACCCTATTGAAAGCCTGCACAATCAATCCCAGGTGCGGGGCTTGGAACAGTTTTTCTGTTCATGTGTCCTAGATTTCTGTGATTAACAGGTCATATCCACTTGCCCAGTCATTTTGCCATGCCCTAATCTCCTATCTCAGGAGGGATGGATGTAGATGGAGAGTCAGAGATGACTGAGGATTTCTGTTGGGCCCAGTAGATGAGTACTAATACCATCACCAAGATAAGAAGTACACTGTATTTAGACAGCCCTCATAGAGTGCATATTGATGACAGCTTTCCTGGCTCTCAGCCCAGGCCTCTAATTGTTTTCTGGGATGTCTCACTGCCTACTCAAATGTCTCTCTTACCTTTCCCATGAAGCCCTATCTTTCAGCCTCCCTAGACCCAGAATTTTGTTTAGTGTTAAGTTCCAACACCTTGTCTTTCCACTCTTCTCAATTCAAGTGTTTTTCACCCATCTTGCTGGCCAGGACTTAGACAAAAAAGAGGTCAAATGCTGTTTCAGTCTCAGATATTTTTATTCTTGAAACCTACTTTTGAAATGTATTTAAAGTCTGAACTGTGTCAGGGAGAAAAACATTTCCTCTTAGGTTATTTAAAGTCCTGCAAATTAAATTCATAAAAGACATTAGAAAGAGAAAAAATAAACACACACCCACACTGGACATTTACAAAGAAATATCAGTCCAAGAGAGGGTTAGTATTTGGAGCTTGTATACCATCTTCATAGGGAATGGAGATGGGCAGAGGGTGATTCTTTTTCAAGAGGGGTGGAAGAGTAAGAGATAAAACAGATAACTTTGGGTTGGGGATTTAGCCCAGCAGCATAAGCATCTGCCTGCCAAGCACAAGGTAATGAGTTCGATCTCTGATACAAAAAAAGGATAACTTTTTGGAAAGATAAAGGAGAAAAGATGAAAGATACATTTTTGTAATGGTGTCTGGGTGTAATACCAGTTTCTCTATGAGACCACTAACAGTGCTTCCAGGAGATAATTTATAGCAATAGAGATTGTTGACTTTTAGGCAGATAAAGGATTTCAGGAACTCAAATGCCTTCAATTCAAAACAATTTTTATGCCACAGTGGCATACACTGGACTCCTGCAATTGTTTTTTGTAATCTTGCTGTAACAACTTTTAAGTCCCTGCTAGACACAATAAATGCATCTAACTAGGCAAAGAACCAGTAACTGTAAAAAAAAAAAAAAAAGATTAGAATTATGTTCTATGAGAGCAAAATATGCAGAAAAGTTCATACAGTAGAACTATACTACTTGATGCTATAATAAAGACATTCATGTAACCCACCTGGGTCATCTCAAAAGATCCTAGTGTGCCCCTTCATTTATAACCAAGTGCCTAGAGATACTTTCTAATTTGCTTGCTTCCTTTTTCTGTTTGTTTGTTTCTTTTTTTCCAGTGGCACTGGGAATTGAACCTAGGTCTTTCATGTCAAGCTACATCTCCAAACTCTTTTTTTTTTCCTTTTTGAGATGACATATTAAATCACTAAATTGCCTAGCCTAGGCTTGAACTTGTGATTCTTCTGCCTCAGTTTCCCAGAATGCTGGAATTACAAATATATGCCACTCACACATGGCACTTTCTGCCTTTCCATTACAACTTTA